TATAGCCTAGGTAAAAAATAAAGTGGCATGGGAAGGAAGGATGTCATAATTTCTCTTTTAGTGACCTTGATGTAATAGTTCATTTTCATAAATAAATGACAAAACAATTATGAAAGCAGTAAAATCGGTTACCTGTACTGATGTAACGGTTGTTAACTATATATGTAACATTTCAATTAATATGAAAAAAACAAAACGTGGCAGGAATTTAGTTTAAAGGAAGAGAAAAGATTATAGTTGCCTACTCTTCTTATGTGGGGGTGCTCGGGAACGTTTGTTCCTCTTCAACTTCTAGAATAATTTTCTACAATCGTGGTTGTACATATTGGCGGGGAGTTTCTAAGAGAGAAGAAGGTAAGATGAAGTTCCTATCCAGAGTCGTGAAGCGAGACAGAAAGATCCAGACATGTTTACATCGTGTGGATTTAGGAATTAATTGTATTTTAAATATACTGTTACGACAGCGGAAGTCACGTGATACTGGAAACACGTAATGAGTTCTAGAAAGATCGGGGAACATCGCGAATAATCCAGTATTTGCTAGGCGCCCTCTATTCTTGTATATAAGTGTGCCAGACAATGAATCGAGATTAAATAGTGGACAAGAGAGATTGAAGATATAGACGAACAATTGAGTGAAGCGCGGTAGTAAGTAAAGGGCGTGAATCGTTCATTGAGAATTATAGCATATGTTTATGTGACTGTGGAAATTAAGTGTATTGCAAAGTTGTATTGAGAAAGAATAAACTAGTTTTATTTAAGAAAGGACTTGTATCACTGAAGTTTCTCGGGAAGAAGTTTTATGGGAAATTAACAAGTGAACAGAGACGTAACAATACTTTATTTAAATGGGTTTTTTAGAAATGATTTCGATGGAAATGACATTGATTTGAATTTGAGGCCCTTTTCAGGGGGGGGGGGCGGGGACCATACGGTCTATCTGAATTTTGATGTGTATGTGAAGGAACCGAAGTGCACGGAATAAAACCAACTTTCACAGGATAGATGCTGAATAATGTATCTGTCCTGTGTCCTGGCTGTCAAATAACACATGATGATTAGAAATGACAACATGATGTTCAACCCATTTTTGTGTATTCTTTGTTTTCGTGTTCGCTGAACAGATTGTATGAAGTGCAGCAGTCAAACTATTTCTTTTTTCTGCTTTTTTATAAGAGTTGAAATGTAGTCCAGTTAGTCTATTTTTAAAGGGTGTATGTCAGATTGTGTATGCAATTTACTGGCGTAAATTTGGAAGCCTTAGGGCTAATCTTATTGCTTAGTTTTGTTGAATTTGTAGTTTTCAAAGGTTATTTTTTGACATATTATAAGTTATATGACAGTCACATTCTATAAGTGGGCGAACAAATGTTTTGTATATTCTTAGGGCTGTTGTGGGTGTGCAGTTTGTGTGCTTACTTGCAATTTGTCTTATGCAGTTGATACTTTTTCTAATCGAGGCATGTATGTTCTGAATGCATGGTTCGTACAGGTCATGGAAAATCTGGAAAGTCATGGAATTTTACTTTCATATTTTCCAGGCCTTGAAGGTCAGGAAAAATTTATAAATTGACTAAAAAGTCATGGAAAGTCATGGAATATAAAAATTTGTGAAAATTCATTCCATTTTTCACTAGAAGTGTAAATAAATTTAGATATTTCAACCATTTTCTTCCCGTGTTTTCTTTTATTCATAACATTTGTCGATTGATTGTGAAAAGGTTTGTTTGTTTGTTTGTTTTGGAATTTCGCGCAAAGCTACACGAGGGCTATCTGTGCTAGCCGTCCCTAATTTAGCGGTGTAAGACTAGAGGGAAGGCAGCTAGTCATCACCACCCACCGCCAACTCTTGGGCTACTCTTTTACCAACGAATAGTGGGATTGACCATCACATTATAACGCCCCCACGGCTGAAAGGGCGAGCATGTTTGGTGGTATGCGGATTCGAACCCGCCATTGTGAAAAGGAGTTCATCACTTGCATGCGTGCCTATATGAGTATTGTGTGTGTACAGTGGTTGTGTGCGCTGCTGTCTCGATCTCTCCATGCATTTGGGTGCATATGCATTGTGTGTGTGTGTGTGCGTGCTGTGTGTATTGCCAATGTGCATGTGGCAGTTGCATGCATATGCAGGCCATAGGCGCGATGTCATATTGTTGCCAGATATACTATTTTGAATCTCGTGGAAACGATAAAAATCCCTTTAGAAAGAGAATTATAATTTTTACTTTCGATATAAACAAAAAATGTTATATGTACTATTTTTTCTGACCTGCTTCGATAATTTCAATACAAATAAAATAATGTACAAACCCTTGACGTACCGATAGTTCGAAAATCCCAATTTGGCCAGCACATACGCTAGCACTATCTGGCTATACACGTGTACACGTGTCTTCCTGTTGTAGAGAGAGTGATCAACATCTGGGAGAATGTATGTATGTATGTTAAGGCAGTTGAAGAGAAGAAAATCTCTCACCCAAAGAACAAGTCGTTTGAAGCTGTTCAGAAGTGTACCAAGATGGCTGATTTTCCAGCAAGACTGAGCTTTTTCATATCGGTGGCAAAGTTGGTCAATCCCTTTGTAACAGACTACCAAACTGATGCGCCAATGTTGCCCTTCTTAGCCGAAGAGCTAACCAGAATGCTTGCTTCCCTTATGCAGCAATTCTTAAAACTTGACAGGAGTACCCTTACTTCTCCTTACAAGATAATGCAGGTAGATATTAGCAGCGAGGCCATTCAGCTGCCTTTGACCAAGGTCGATATTGGATTCTACACTGAGAAAATGCTAAAGGATCTGAAAGCAAAAAACATTATCAGTGAGCGAAGGATTCTGGAATTTCGTGTCCAAGCAAAACAGTTTCTTGCTGCAATGACCCGCAAGCTCATTGACAGATGTCCGCTTAAGTATACACTTGTGAGAAATATGAGATGCTTAACTCCAAAGAACATGGCAAAAGACAAAGGAAACTCTACTGCAAAGCTGAAAAGGATGCTTAGCTCCCTTACTGATGCAAACAGACTTGAGGATTCATATGATGACATCCTAAGAGAATACTCAGAAGCATGTGATGAGGCATCAAGAAACACAGAGATGAGAGAATTTGATCCGAAGAAAGTCTGGACTCTCTGATGTGCACATTTCTGTCTGAGTCTCGCTATTCATCTTTATTAAAGGTGGTCTGCATGTTACTTGTCTTGTCCTATGGACAAGCCTATTGAAAGAGGATTCTCCGTCAACAACGAAGTTGAAGAGGACAATCTTGTAGGGCACTTGCTAATATCTTTGAAGGCTATATATGATCATATCAAGTATGTAGGAGGAATTCAGAACATTATTATTGACAAGTCACTCATGTTAGCCACTTCAGCAGGTAGGCAAAAATACCATATGTATCTTGATGAGCAGAAACATGAAAAGGAAAAGAAGGAAAGAAAAAGAAAAGGACTGCTTGATGAGATAGATGAACTGAAAGCTAAGAAGTCTAGACTGCAAGCAGATATCAAAAGTCTTCAAGAATCAGCAGACAAGTTTGCAGAGGAAGCCGAGTCAACTGGCAGATTAAATTGTATATCCAAATCAAACAGCCTCTGACGTACAGCAAAGGAGAAGATGTCCCAGTTAGAAGTGATTCAGAAACAAATTGATGAACAGGTGAATGTCATCAAGAATTCGTAAAGTAAGACACAGTGGACAAGTTTGCAGAGGAAGCTAAATCAACTTACAGTTTGACATGTATATCAAAATCTAA